AAAAAAAGCGGAAGAGCTGAATCCAAAACCTTCACCGCGTCACTCACGTCACTCGATGCTTGATTTGTAGTTTACTGGTGCCTATCTGTAGAAATTCAATCTGTTGCAAGATGTTTCTAATGCCGCACAACGGAGGCTCGATGAATAAGCTGGTCCAGAAGATAGTTTTCTGTTAGTTATGAATGTTTATAATGTAGCTTCTCTTCGACGACGCCTAACACAACAACCGTGGTGAAAGGAAATTCGATAAAATACGAAAGAAACCTAACAGAAAATGTTTGTGATAGATGGACCAACACGAAGGAAATGCATTGAAATCAACGCGCAATGACGATTTTGTTCCACTACGTACTTATGAAATCAATGAGCATTGTCGCGAATGAGCTAAACGCGCTAAATTTAGTCTTAGAAACGAAACTGCTTTGGAAATAGCTTTGAATGTATAATTTGAACTATTTAACATATCTTCTTTTTCTCTGGGACAAATACAAAAACGGTAGAATATTATTTCAAAAAAGAGGACTGCGGACTGATCGGCGATCGCTTAAACAATCATGATCTTGAGTAAACCAACTTTATAGCGATTTTCCATAGAAATATAATTCTAAAGCAGAGGAAAGAAAAACAGTACTAGCAGTGGTTTCTTCTTAATCTCAGCAAATCTGCGCTTGTCTTGCACTCATAAGGGGAAGAGCTAACTACAAGTCTATTCACTGTTGCCATATCATATATTGGAAATTGAATTAGTGAGTGGAATAAGCGAGCATGTTGATTATGTGAAGCATATCACGATATGATCACCTCATGATAAGGCTTTACGTACATAAATAAACATTCGGAAGCTATGAAAACGATCTCCATATGGCTGTTTATCTTCCAGAAATGTTTCTTCCGCAGTTAACTTCATGTGGGATGTCGTCATTGCGAAAGAATACTCCAGCAGTGGGTATTTCTTCCAGTGGAAAAAACCTAGAGGTGAGAATATCCAGTAACCCTGAACTGTTTAGTTGGTAGTGAAACGCAGTAGATGACAGAAACGGAGTGTCAAACGGCGAAATTTACATATCGTTGGAGGCTTCGTGTCCTGCTCGCACATCGATCGCGCGGCTCCGGCGGGCTCTCGGCGAACCCCGCACTGCCTGCGCCGGCAGCCGCCTCACGCTGGCGTCAATCGGAACCCGGAATTCCGTACCAATCCAGAAACGCAGTTCCTATGTGCACCAGAGCCCCAATATCACCATAGCTGGTTGCTGTTGCTACATCAAAGCCACACCATGACGTCTAAAGTGCACATGCATAGCTTTCTCCATTAATGGGGTCGTAATGTTACCATATTGGGACAGCTTCGATTGCCTTTCTTTCTGAACTAACCACTGACTAAAAAACAACCTAGTGAAGAATTGAAGCAGTCGGATATTTGGATCTTGATGCAATGTGAAAGCTGTCGGTTAAATAATTGTCGATCGAGTGTCTGAATTTTACAGGAAATCGTATTCGGACAGTTCATGACAAATGACGGCACAAGAGAGACATTCGAAATTTTACGAAGCATTCGTGGTAACTGCTATAGCAACAAGTCGTCCTCACTGGTGTGAACACCGCCGATCATGCTTTGAGAAGGTGGTCCTAATCCCTTATTTAGATGCTGTTTAGTTTCGTACCCGTATGAAATTTTATTTTGATTAGTAGTAATAAAGCAAAGCTTTCCTTGATGTAAATCCAGTAGTCTTTTCTGTTTTAGTAAGTGTGCAATTTGTTTAAGGTACTGTTATCCGAAGACTAGTGTGCATCTACCTCATAGGAACTCAACACTTCCTTCTTTTAAACAAAGTAATTAATGTCTTTTGTGGTGATATTATACACCATAATATAGCACAAATTTGCTACATATATTTCCTAACATTTTTGTTCCTGTGTCAAATTCTGTTGCTTAGGCTTTAGGAATAAAAACTGAAAAAAACCAAGTGAAGTCGCAATTGGCTGTAAAACCGCAGAAATAGCTGGGAAAATCCATCCTGGACTTAGTTACAGAGCCATTAATGGTCACACGATGCAAGGCTTCAGAATTTTCCTGATAGGTACGAAAGTTTGAATTGGAAGTGTGGAACGACTACCTGTCACAAACAATGAGCAATTGAAGAATTGAAGCACATACACACCATAACATTCGACAGCTTACGGAAAGAAAGAGAATATGTGACAGGACTGCTTAAGAAAATATTCCTGGACGCGGCCTCACTTATTAGTGACATTTTTACTCGAATCTAACTAGTCTTGAGTGCTATTTCAAGCAACGTCTCTTCCTCATCTAAATTGATGAAAAATATCTAGGAAGTCTCCTACCGCGAAATTATGTATATCTTATATCTTGTCCTCAGGCTTCTTCCATAAAATAATTGCTCAGTGAGCCTCAAGAAGGGCAGTGTTAAGGAAACAACAAGGCCAATGTTGGTAACGTTCAAACACAACAGAGAAGAATCATATTTTTCCTTTTTATTTTCTGCCTGTTACAATTTTCACGGCAGGGTACTGAGCGAAATACAACCACAATGTTGCTGAGATATTTGCAAAACTCTGGACCACAGCTGTCTAAGGTGGGGAACGAACGCGCTATTGTCCTTTCCGGGAGTAACGCGTTCACCACCACACCATGCAGGTCCTTCGTTTCACCTGTTTCTCAGCTAGTTCTATCGATCAGCGCCATCAGCAGTCACCCATCAACGGATTGATCTGGGGGCACACACACATCGGCATTGAACCCAGTTAAGCTGAGGCTGTAGTTGAAATAAAAATTGAAATGAAAAATGAAAATTTCAACTACAGCCTCAGCTTAACTAGGGTCAATACCGATGTGTGCTCCCAGATCAATCCCGTTGACGGGTGATTGCTGATGGCGCTGATCGATAGAACTAGCTGAGAGACAGGCGAAACGAAGGATCCCATGGTGTGGTGGTGAACGCGTTACTCCTCGGAAAGAACAATAGCGCGTTCATTCCTACCTTAGACACTTGTAGTCCAGAGTTTTGCAAATAAGAATCATATTGTTCATTCGCTAGTGCTTTAATGAGAAAGCGTGTTTCATTGGTAAAGTTGACAAAAGCAACACTAAAAAGCGTTCCTGAAACGAGGAATAGTAACACTGTGTTAACCCATTCACGATGGTGCAGGTTTGCCGATATATGCCGGCACTTGTTGCACAAGTGGAGAACTCAAGCATTTGAAGAATTTTCAAATAACAGACACTTTGCATTATCATTATAATGGTATTCATGGTCTGCTGAAAAATTTTTAATGTATTTTTAAGTTGGAGTAAGAAAAGGCCACAGAATGTAAAAAGGGAGAAATCGAATTGCAGCAATCACCCACATTGATGACGCTCTTGAGGACACTACAGTGTCATGCTGGACGAAATCTCTTTTTCAGTCACTTCGCTGCTATAGATAAGAGCGACAATAGGGACGAACGAAAGAAAGGACTCGTTTATACGACCAAAAACTATCGTGATAGAATGGGAAAACACTCGATTGTCTTATTGGCAATAATCTATAGCATATCTCTTCGCCCTATATTCAAGCTGACGAAGTAGACCACCGGCCAAGATACGTCTATTTAAAGTTGATTATCAAATTGTTCTCTTCCATGTGTCAAACAGGAATTGTTCGCATCGTCTAGAATGTTTTAGAGTACATAACTCACATAATGAAATTGCCATATTACTACGCAGTTGTGCGGATACTACAATCTTGGTTCTCATACTATTTTATCTATTTCTCTTGCAGTAATTTCCAAGACCGACTTTCTATTAATCTCGGCGTTGATTAAATAATTCACTATATTCTTCAAGAGCAAACACGAGGTGTTGCTTCATTTTTCATTAACGGTAAAACTTCTTAGGCGGATTTAACCTCAAGACAAATTATTGGAAAGAATTTCTCCAAAATGTCGGCCTTTTCGTCAATAAAATATAAAGTGACAAATAAAGTAAATAAAATAATAAAGTAATAAAGTAAAAATAAAGTTTGGTTATATCAAGAACATAGGGAATCATGTCTATTGCCGCCATTTTCACCTGCATCTCACGATCTTACCTCTCAAAGTGAAAGCAGAATGGCACACGTGCGATCTGCAAGCTAAGACTGTGGCGACGACTTGGAACCGCCTTGGCACAGGTTTGTTGAGACATTAGAGAAAACCGCGCACAGCTACATATTAATTGAATAGAAATAAAAGTGGATATCATTTCAGAATTTACTACCAAATTCGATTTATCCACTTCCATGAATACCATCAAATTAAGACGACATCTCATCGGCGAACAATGACACTATTTTTCTCATTTTATTTTTCACCTATACTTTTTACAGTGTACTTAATAACACTCGAACATATATTGAGCCAAGAATGCAAGAAATAATCTATTCGATTTTGGACAGCCCACTTAGTTGGATACTCGCGCAAGTTTCGTATGCTTCCAACGAGAAGCGATGTGTAAACATTTACAATTCTCTGAAAAACACTGTTTCGAGCAGAAATAACACTCCAATAAGTCGTTATAGTAATAACAAAAATATACTTAAAAGAAAGAGCATCACTGAGTAAGGATGCCTCATTCGAGGAGATGGCTCACTGAAGAAGACCTGACTCGACACGAAGGCGAAGCCGCCACGTCGAGACGAATAACAAGCGAGGACCATCGACTCGGATCATCGGCTCTAAGGAAGACGAAGACGTCGAAACGTTAGCCGAAAATAAACATCATTATCAACCTCTTGTAAGCTCATCAAAGAAAGAATACATACTTAAAAGACTTCAAAACAAATACTTTAGTTAACCACCGCAAAAAAAAGCGGGCTATGTACACAATACACAATAGAGAAATCCAAGAGAAGGAAAAGGATCACAAAAAATACACACCCATCATAACACGTGGTTTCTGTTCACAGGACTAGCAAATCTACGAAGCAAAATTTAATACTCTATAAAACAAAAACTTCTACACATTAGTAACCCAGGCATTGTTCCCAATATATTCTGTAAAACAATATATGTACAATTACACTGAATCTACATTCTTCGGCTGAAAATAAAACACCAAACGAAACTGTCCTAGTTGTCGGAGAAACATTTTACTGCGAATCTAATGAAAAAGAAATATTCGAAGAAGTTGTCCGGCTTTTACTGCGACGACTCGTGACATTTGCACGGTTACCGTCCACTGTTTGGCTTTCCACTTGAGTTAAGTAGTCCGAGTCCAAAATTTCGTCACAAGTTGGCCGGCATTCTGGTTCCACACTAGTTAACCAGGAAACAAAAACCTTCTAAAAAAGGGGAAAGTGCAAATTATCACTAGATTTTTCTGAAACCAAGATAAGTTGATTTTCTTAATTCGAATTTGTAAAACAATCCTCTTTAATCAAGAAGTCCAAACATCATTAGTTTAATAGTTACCAAAACCTAAAAGAAGAGATATAGAAAATACGTGTTATATCATTTCCTACGGTTTAAACATTTTCGCAAACCATTTGTAGTATTGACATCCCTACCTCACTAGGCATTAAATTAAGAGCGTCTGGAATCTTTCCTTGCTGTAGACTGCGAAGAGTAGCGCACCGCTCCATTAGTGTTTGAAACGGTATCACAAGCTCACAGAAAATAAGACCAAGAGAAAATACATCCACTTTGAAAGTATACGGCTTGCTCTCAAGCTACAATTATCATTTGTTGAGCATTCACAACTGAAACTAACTTCAAACCAAAATCGACAAACCTGCTCTGGACTCATATATCCTCTCGTACCAACATTGTCGGTATGAACCATAAATCCAGATGAACTTTTCTCGGCTGGTGGATCTTCGGTAGGTATATATCTCGTTACTAAACCCAAATCTCCGACTTTCAGTGCATGGTCAGATGCGAAGAAAATGTTTTGCGGCTAAAAACAACGTGTCACTGTTGATCAAGTACCTTTCGAGTTAAGCCAAAAAAATGTCGGCCAAATCAAAAAGGAATGGAGCAGATGCAATTAGATAAGAAAAACTAGGCCGCAGAGAAATACGGCGCATAAAACCTATTTAAGAATTTAATACATCCACGCAGTTAACTTGGAAAACAGAAGCAGTTTAGGTAGAGCATCTTCGAAATTACAACTTAAGCACACAAAAATTTACAGATCCAAATAGAAATTTGAAACTCACTTTAATGTCACGATGTATAAGTCCCTGTCGATGAATATAACTAACCGCACTACACATCTGTACCATCCATACTTTCATTTTCTGAAGTGGGCGATCCTCCCATGACATGTGACTCGACAACCACGCATGTAACGTTTGCTCTTGGCATAGCTGGAAAACACAACACTATCCTTACATGAATCAACGATGAACAATATACTATGTACATCTACACACACTATATATATATATATGTATATATATATGTATATATACAAATGTATATGTACACATACACATGTATGTAAATATATATATATACATATGTACGTATAAATATGCCTCTAAAGAGAATGAATATTATTAGTATCATGATTGTAATATTATTACTATATTAGTATTTTAATCTTACTAGTGTTCACACAATAACCTTCGAATATCATCCGATGAACAGATCAGTGGACTACTTCTCCTAAAGAAATCGAAAAACAATTTTCCGATCCAATGAAAACTTTGGGGTTGTGGGCTATCGATTTGGGGTCACTCTACCGCTTGTAAAATAAAGATTTCTAGTTGGCACAGACTTACAATACTCCTAAAACAACTCTTGTTGAATACCATTCTAAACAAACGTAATATTAAAATACCACTTTAGCCTGCATCACGCGTGTGCCTATCAACTGTAAAATGACCATCAGGTCTCATGTAAAGTCACCGCTCAATTCTGTCATATGCCAACGTCACGCTGTGATTCCAACTCTCTAGGATACAAAAGGCCACAGTACTTGTTTCTCCGGGATCTTTGGGGTGAAGCCTAACCATTTGGTCGGTGATCTTGTTAGGCGCCTGAAATCCAGTGAAATTGGGCCCCTAGTGACATATGCGCTGTTTCGGACAGTCAAACATATGTGTCCATCCTACACAGTACTTGATATACACTCTCCTCCAGTTTCGACAGTAGATGAAAAATGAAAGTGCGGTAAGGCTAGCTGCACTCTCATTTTACTTTCATTGACAATTAGAAGTAACGTGTTTATGGTAAAGCGTGTTGACGAATATCGTAATACCATCAGTGTCGGAATTTCAGAGGAACAGCGTTTTTCCAGTTTTATGAACGGGTGATGTCTTCTCTTCTCATTTAGTCCGATAACGTGGTACATGGCTCGTTAGCTAGCAGTAGGTTGAGCGTGAAGGAATCCTTGAATAGTAACTATGTCTCAATCTCTTGTAGAACTCTTGGAAAGCACCAACATGGCCTAGAAAAAATATTCGAATAATTACGATACACCCAATCCCATTATAATACTCTAAACTAGAAGACACTTATCCCTAAAGCTGAGAATTTCTAACGAGAAAAAAAGAGTCTGGAACGGAAACGCGTCTATGGGCACCGATATGAACTCTTGATATGATATTGGAAAACCGTTCTCATGGTAAGACTCACTTGTTAAAAGTATACCACATTCAAAGTCAATTCCATAGAAACCACAACTAGAAGGAATGAAGAGATGGATGCGAAGTTAGATGCTCTTCGCTCTTTTCATTACACTCGCAGTGCAACTGCCTCAGTTTCTCGTATTGCTCGTTCCCTTGCCATCTCTGCAGATAACCCCTTCATTATTCTACAATTTCAATCCCGTCTAATTATCAGACAACTTTGTTGGGAAAGATTCCGGTAAGTAATAGGTAGGAACGCAGGACGATTGGTGGGCACTTGCCAAACGGTGCAGATCACCTTCTTGCACAATGATTTGTGCACTTATTCTGATCGTTTGTTTACCTTGCCTTTGGTTACTTAGTGAGTGAAAAGCCTAGCAAGCGTCACAGTAATAATGGTAAATTTATCAGCTGCTCCAACGTGATTAAGAGTGGATGATATATCACTTTTTATCCAGGAGGTTCCATAATGGAGTTTGGAGGGAAAGCAAATATGGCAATGTATTCATGCATTAATTCTAATATGCGACTGAACGGAGCAATCCAAATGAATGTTGCTAAAGCTGTAGATAATTTTCTCCATTGCAATTATGAATGAAAACATTGTCACTGTTTTGGTATGGTAACGAGCAAAACCCCGAAGAATGCTGCCGCCCCCGATCTCTTCAGTTCCACCCAATACAACTGCTCTTTCCTGTTCATGATTTCTTACCGCATTTCTGCTCTGCACTCTTGGACGATGACAGTAGGTGCATGCGGTTTCTAGCGATGGTAACTCATCAAACTGAAATCTTCCCAAAACAAACGTTTTCGGTAAACCCTTCGACTTAGTACTGACACAAAGTCTGAAGGAGTCCACAGTATTCCTTATCCTGTTTGTCGACGACAAAATTTTATTCCCATTGTCTGAAGAACTTTTTCAATATCGGAAATATTGGCTACATAAAACATGCTATATACTATGCTTGGGTCTATTTTGTCATGATACCGACAGACGCTCAAGTAGAATGTTTAGAAAGGGGCCTCTGGAAACATTAGTTATCAAAAATTGCTTGGTCATTATGACAGAAAGAGAGAGCAAGTCACCGTGTTCAATCTATTTCAACCTCTTCACCTCAAAACGAACCACTTCAGACGTTCTCATAAAAGCAATCTTAGCGGTAAATTTCCCAGTTACGATCCCCCTGAATATACGACTTCTGAAGACCTTCTCAAAGCCCATACTGAACGCTTCGACAAAACCAGCGTCATAACATCACGTTAAAGCATGTGTTGCGAAAACTGTCGAAAGTGGCGCAAAGGAATATAGGGTTAGTACCTCAGCTTGGTTAGAGACAAAAAAGTCGTCTATTCTCTATTGTTGCACGCTCTCAGGAGCAGTCAATTATCATTAAAAGGATTAAGCTCGGCGTTAATCAATTCCTGAGGGATCCACCATGCATTCGACTTCACTAAGTATCGTTGGAGGTGACTGAATGCATATCTGGCCTTTACAGTGACTCTCGGTGGCCTACCGATGTTTCGAGCCAGTGCTGCTATCCTTCCAGACAAGTCTAGGACCAATTTTCCAAGCCCGAAGGGATGGAAGGCTTGGTAGGCCATGAGCGCTAGATCAATCCCACGTGCGTGTCGCCGTGGCGCCTCCAACCATTGCGCCACACGAGACCAAGTCCATTATCATGAACAGCACTAATTATGCGACGTTTTGTGGTACCAGTAAGTCCAGCTGCATCTTAGTTCAAGTTCTCCCTGCACTGTTAGGTTCTTACTAGAAGCTCCTAACAAGTGGCTTGTTCGCGTTATAAGTAGTTCTTCATCATAATCAAGATTTTGGTGTTCTAAAACGGCTGAAAGTTTGAAAGCCACACCTTAGCAATCTCACCACTTGACCTTCGTATTACGAGCTCCATCTAGGTCACGGTATGAGGCATTTTTCACCAACAAAGCTCTAAGTAACACGTTGGACCATGTGAAAGAGAAAGACATGAAATATGGGCTTTATTTGTTGCTACTTAGCCCAAAATAGTTTCAATAACATTTTATTGCTGGTCTCATGTCGAAGCACGTGTAACACACAACCTGCATATATGTAAGCACACCTATGCACGCGTATGTCAGTGCACATAGGCGTCAATCCTGTTCGGCATTTCCTAAAGCCACATGGGACCTTCAGCAAGTCGAAGATTGCTTGTGGATCACGTTTAACCTTTTACTCGCCACAAAGAAACGCCAAACGCAACCTATTCAAAGTCTGTCAAATAAGAAAGAATTGAAGAAAAGTTTATATTGCATATAACGCAACATTTTGCCTACGTTCAGATGTAGTTCTTGTGTCAACATTTGTTTCATGCTTGGCAACTTTTGTAACCGTTACCAATGGAGGTCAATGGATTCGTATGAGTTCGGCTGTGGTTTTCAAGACTATCGCCTTATTACTCAGTATCATAATGAATGCTGGTAGATTGTTATAGACTAATTTGAGGGAGAATTACAGGAAAGTTTTGTTAGACTGTTCGCTTTAAACAAGGCACCGAATCCTCCAATTAGTATATTGAACAATAAAGGACGAATCCATGATATGAACAACAATAAGCTTTCTCATCTTAGACAAGAAGGTTTAAGCAGTTCAAGATATGTTCTATAAATTTCTCATAGGAAACTTCATAGTAGAACTCGGAAAGAAATGGGAGTACTAAACCGGAAAATTTGGATCACACTGCAATTTTTAAAAAAACTTGAATTTTCTAGGGCGCTCCCCGACTCATTTCCTTCGTATAATCTCGCTTTTTCAAAAGAAAGATCACCGCTGGAACTGGGAGTCCGCGTACAATCGATGTCGTCCACATCCATTGTCAACAAATCTTTTGTTGACGTTCGACGCGTGCTGTGTACTGGTGTGCTCCATCCTGTGGAAATCCCCTTTAAACACAAAATTAAAGAACGAATTCGCCGTTCGAAAAGAAAACTAGCAATATTCAACGAGTACATTCTTAGTGATGCCCCATCTAAATGTCGACGCCATATTTCTCAAAAGTGTTCGGAACCATGCAGAGTAAGTTCATCGTAATCCAAAGAAAAGCCCAAAACGACCATCAAAAAAGACTACAGAGTTTCTGAAAACCCTGATGCGATACGCACCAAACAGTTCAAAAGACTGACTTTCCATGAACCTCGGCATAAAGTCCTAATCGTAACAGTACGACTCTGAGGAAGGCGAAATCGCCGAAATGTCAGCCATCGACCAACAGCACTAACAACAACGACAACGACGACAACAACAACAACAACAACCACAACGAAAACTTACACCAAGCTCGCATCAACTTAACAAGATCAATTTGTATGACCATATAGGTAAATACACACCAAACAATTAGTCATTAATGTCACCAGCAGAAAGGCAGCACAGGAAGATTTTCATTCATACTAACAACAAAGTTTCTATAGATGATAGGGAAGAGGAAAAGCATAGAAAAAGACGCTACACTTGCAAATAGAACGGTCACTCAGACAACAGATGTTCTGACGCAACGTCACTTTGCACAAAAAACGGTAACAAGAACAACCTTCGTAACCACTTCCTGATTAGTGTACTGATAGTGCATGAAGAATATTAGCCTCATACGCTTCTCTAGGAACTTGGATGAAGACTAACCTATAAATAAAGCAGGATTCCGCAGAAGGTATGCGACAATGTGGACCGCAAGACCATTGAGTCCGTATCGGTAACTACGGATTAAGCCTATGTTGAGCTCTTTTGCACTACAATGGCGTACACAATCAGTCCATTTGGATAAAAATGTAGTGCATACGTTGGCAAACAATTCACTTATAACCCTTGCGCTGTCGTCGACATTACCGCAGTTGCAAACAGTATCGCAGAATTAGAACTTAATCATACGGCAAAAAAATTAAACTACGAATGAATTAGAAGAAAAACTAATCCCTTAAGGAACCTTGGTATATAATGCGATAGGCAATCTTTGAGAAACCATCGATAAAGAAAACAATGACGTACATATACCTTAAATGTCTAATGGAAAACAGGTAACGATTTGGGAGAAGGAATCAGTAGTATATCCAGAAATTCAACTCCAAAAATTTTATACCGAGAAATTCAACTCCAAGAACTTCTAGCTGTAGGAGAACCTGTGTATGACCACAGCCACGAATGAGTACAGCCGCATGATAATAAAACTAGTGGAAGTGCTGTGGAACGCGTGCATATTAAGATGGTCCGCTTAGGCATCTAAGAATTTCAGTACGGATATAACATAGATTTCCACAAAAAAAAAACATGAAGGTGAGTCAGAAAACCAAAACGGATTCATGCTTACCAACCTGCATTTGAATATAAAGATATACAAAATTACTCGTATCCGAACTTGGTACCAAATCCTCATCGGTTGAAGACATCAGAACCATCTAAAATACGAAGCTTGAAAACTACAGAATTACTAACTACTAATTAAAAATGGACTACGGAAAACCAAGAATTAGTTTAACGATAACATAACGCTGAGCCATGAACTACTTTCTGAAACAAACTTTTTTGCCGAGCTGAGACAGATCACTGTCGTTGGTGGAATTGTTTTTTGAACAATCTCCAGCTTCGAACACAACGCTGTCCGAGTTTTCAGAAACGACCTGCTGTTGACCTAAAAAGCAAGTTAAACACTTCCAAATGATATACCTCTGAAAATGACTTCATTGCCTTCATAAATTAATGAAATTGTAGACAAAGCAGCCAATAAAGACTAACCTTTGGAAACTGAACATTCACTATCTGATGAGGATTCATTACTATGAACCTCGTCTCTTTTCACCTCATCAAGCCACGATCCATCATCACTTTGTTCACTTAGCACAAAGGGAACCATGCTTGAAATAAATTGTGAAGCTTGCACTAGGATTTTAAGTGTTTGGAAAATTTTAAAAAATATCAGACATAAACATTAAGATGTTTTCCGCGCCGAAGAGTTATCCGAATAAATTCTTACGAGAAGCTCGTATTAGCTTACCAATAAAACAGGACTGACAAAATTTTTTTGCGACCAGCTACATCATCTCAAACCTTCCATTCAAAACAAACTATCGTTTACGACTCATGATAATAAATCTATTACTACGCAAAACCACCTCCATAGCAAATTAAAAACAAAACACTGCAGTAGTACACAACAACTCTGTGGGCACAATTAATGTTAGCATGACGAAATTTCACATTTGCCTTACATTTAGTGGTCAAAAAACGAGGTGGTGGATTGGAAGTAGATAAAGAAACTGACTTTTTAGAACTAGTGAGACCAGTATGTGGAGTAATAACTGGAATCGCAGGTGGAGATTCAGATCTCACAATTTCGAGCGCATTAAGCACAACTCCCACATCATTCCTCAAATTCGAACCACGCAGCATCACACTATCCTGTTCCTCCTGATAAATGATGAATGATTGTTGAATTTGGGGCAGAAAAACCGCTTGTTTCTGGCTAAAACTACGTTCGACTTCTCAAGAATATGCATTTAATTCCTCGTAATATAACATTCGTTAGCACACAAATAAACGCCATTTCTTGTAAATCCTCAATTTTTACCTGCCATCCACGAGGAGGCCTTTCAATCCATGTATGGTAGTACCGGATTATTCCTGGATGGTCGAGTTTGGCCATTGCTCGCACCTCACGCAAAACCAATTGGATGGCACGTTCACTGGAAAAATCGGAACTGTGATAACAATAAATAGAAAACATAGTCCATACTCACCTATTCGCTACGGCAATTCGCTTAACAGCATACGGGCATTCATCGAGACGATTTCTTGCTTCAAACACTACACCAAATCCCCCATGCCCAAGCAATTTCACTGGTTCGAAATCCTGAATGAACCTGAAAATTATAAAGTTTAGAAAATCCCTGAGTTTACACGGAAAGAATATGATCAGTTTTACAGAATAGGAACGAACTTGCTATGGAACTTATTACCGGAGCTTTCTCGACTTGAACTAAGTTTACGTTGAGAAATGTTTTCCGAAGTTGGAGTTGATAGTGAAGGAGAACCACCAACGGATGGCCCAGCAGATGTTGACCGCGTTTTAGTTTCCCTTATCTATGTAAATACTCGCTAGATGCAAGACAACAGTAGAGGGTTATTCGTACTTAAAAGTACCAAAGATGTAAAGAGAAAATTCATGTTCTCTTTCTGCATGTCAGTTAATGTAAATGGGCTAAATGACTTGTGGAGATAAACAAAGTACAATGAAAAAAGTGCAAATTTAGAAAGAGTTCCTACCTTCTTCAACGAAATCTCGTGAGAAGATTGAGAAACTGAAAGCGAAGAACAACAAGAAGACTGCAATCTTTTACGGCGACGTAACAAAGCATGCATCACTATCGCTGCACAACCGGCAAAACTAAGCATCGCTAACGCCATAATTCGCCTAAATAGGAACTAAACCCTTTACATTCGAAGCCTTAGTTTAAAAGTGAGAGCGGTTACCACCATCCGGAAACCATATGGTCAACTTTCAACGTTCTACTGACACGTTCCACAATATTTGCCGAGCACTGGTTGGAATCAAGAAAACCGTTAAACGGCTTTTTGGCTTCCATATTTGGACGCAGCACAAACCATCCCTGGTCGCCTAAACGACGACTGGTATTTGAATATTTTCTGAAGAATTCGTTCGAGCAATATATCTAGTGCTAACACAAACGTCAATGCTAAGTACATCGGTTTATCTACTTATCTCATCTACATTTAAAATATTCCACTTATGTTCGGCCCGATTACATATGTGTATCAAACGTGGTCACAGCAACGTACAACTGTCAGCATTGAAAGCGGCATTTCTGAGATCTTCTTCTCTGATGAGTGATGTCTGTCCACTGTAAGGACACGAAACGGATATGAGCGCTCCATGATCTGTAAGAGGTTATAAAAATGCAAAGCATTCGGTCCTGGTTTGCCCCTTAACAAGGCTAAATGCACTGGCCTAACGTTTTCTTTCGACGTTCTACATTGGCGTACATTAAGCTTCGGAGAGAATGAGCGCTTGGCCTAGGACTTAGACTTGCTCGAGCCACCCGATTTAAAAAAGGGTATATTCATCCTCCTAGATAAATTTGTTACCAAATTTCCAACCCATCAAAAGAGCCTAACAGGGCCGTGCTAATCTAAGGGACCGAAGCAACGACCATGTGCATCATCTGGCTATGGCTTGAATATTGATTGCAACGGATTATCGTAAATCTCCATAAGGTAATATTGTTGAAAAAAAAAACAAGATACTGAAATAGGTAAAAAATATCGCTAGTGATATGGAAACAATCTTTGAATTGTTCAGGAAACGTAGACATGATATTCTACTAGCCATCATCGGTCTCCACAAGCTGGAATCCATCGGACTTTCGTACGGCAACCTGCTTATTAGCATTACTCAGTTGTTTAAGATTAATCGAACGCTTGTAGGACGACAGTAACAATTGGTCTAAAAGGGACTAATTATTTCAAGTGATGATAAAAAAAAGATGAAATTATTTTTACCAATAGTATTATGTTCAACAAAATACGAGCTACTAGATAGTCGAGTAATTTGACCAGTAGCAGACTGCGATTCAACGAAGTCTATGTTCCGCGCGATTCTCTTCATTTCATTTTTTATCAAAGGAGAATGCATAATAAATGGCTCATCATTAACGGTACCTGAAAATGAACGCAACGTTCTTAAAAGATACTGAAAAAGAACAACCCAATTAACTAAACAACTAAAAACTAATGATATATTTATTTATATGTTCTAATAAACTGATCTTTTTCAGTACCTGATGACAGGTTGGTATAAGTTTTTGTTGTTACTGTTGTTATTGCCATTGCCGTTGTTGTTGATGTTATTGGCCGCTGGCTGACGTTTGGGCAATTTCGCCTTCCGCAGAGCCGCGCCGTTCCCACTCGTATTTTCCATGCACAAAGTATGAATGCTCCTACTCCTACAGCGCGGCTCTTAGGAAAGGCGACATTGCCAAAAAGTCAGTCATCGACCAATAACACCAATAACAACGACAACGTCAATCTATACCAACTTCACATCAGCTCAACAAGATCAGTTCATAAGCACATATAAATAAACATATCAACCATTTAAGCCGAGGTTCATAAAAAGTCGGTTTTTTGAGTTAAAAAACCAATTGCCTCAAACATTACAGGCTATATACCTAGTAATAAAAGACTGAAAATTAACTACAGCAATGAAACTTTGTTCAATACCTATATAAAACAGTGAATCAAAATAATCAACACCACTCGCAGAGCGTGCATTTGCCAAGTACAAAGTATGAATGTTATCCGTATTGAAAAGTGAGACCTTAAAAAAACATGCGATTAACTCATATGTAGTCAATTCAAACCCAATCACTTCAAAAGCCATGGAAAAACCATGCACAAAACGTCATAGTTAACAAATAATTTGTAGTCATCTCTTCACCACATGAGGCAACAAAAACTGTAGAAACATCTATCGTCTAAATAATGATATTACTTGGATACTTGGATGATCCGTCTTCACTGGTTGTGCAGATTCCAGCATATTTTCCACCCTACGGAGATTTTCTGGCTTAGCCATTGCGCTTCTATGGAGTACCGATGACAGTTAGGCCAAAGTCCGCCCCAGGTCATCACCACCACAGGCACTGCCCTTGTAGATCAGAGAGAAATTTGCCACCATGGACTAGTTCCACACAAGGACGATGGTGGTGGATGCTGGTGATGGTTTCCTCTTAGCTGGACTTCCTGATTGAAACGCCGGGACTCCTCAGTTTGGGAGATCCTACCAAGGGAATGAATTTCCCTGCTGTGCATCGGAGCCTGACATCCAGGAACACCTCCTAGCCACGATGAGGCGGTAAAACGTTTGAAGGAATAGTGATATTACTCGTTCAAAATAAAACTCCAGATATAACTACTCTCCACATAGATAAATACTCGTTAAATTACCTTCGTCAACACTCCACCTTAGATAAAAACTTGTTAAGTTACCTCCCGCAACTCTCCACCTTCTAATTTCCATGTTCGAGCTATATGACTATTAAGTTTTTGGGACCATAATTCATTGCCGCAACTATCAAATGCGGTAATGATTCCACTCGGAGGCTGTATTAAGTATCGAATCCTGCGATAAAACACACATTGAAACACAAGCACTTAAAATATGGGATTGAAAACAGAATGTAACGCTAATTCACCCAGCTCCTCTAGGATAAAGATCGTCGCCGTTTAGCATGGCAAGTGTAACGTCGTACTCCGAGACAGATAAATTCCATCTGGATAATGCATTAACTTAGAACATCAAAAAGGATTATGTTAAAGTAGACAGTGTTTCAACTTTTATTCACTACAGATTATTCTTTCATTGCAGAGTGCTATGTGAAATACAATCACAAGGGTGATGAAATAAGAGCAAAACTCGGAACCTTAATTGAGTTTCGAACCTGAGATAACCATTACAAAGAGCTCACGTGCTATCCGTATTACCACCCGAGGCTCTTGCTTTGCCTTCCTCTCAGTCACTTTAAAATGAAAAATTGGAAACCAGAAAAAAAAGAAGTAATAAAACGACTGAGAGAAAGGGAAAGCAAAGGTCTCAGTTGGTGTAGTGGTTTGCGCGTGTACTTCGGGCAAGGGTAATCGTGGGCTCGATTCCCAACTGAGGTTCCGAGTTTTGCATACATCTCAGCATCCTTGTCGTAGTGTTTCACATAAAACTAGATGGCATAGCAAATGTTTTCGGATTTTTGGGATATTCACAGTCGTACCTTTCGCTGCCCGTCAATGCGTCCACAGCACGGACCTTATTTGTACTTCGACGAAATATAAGAGTGGAGGTAATGGATTCTGTTGGAACTGACTCGCAGTGTGAAGATGTACAGTGATAACGCACCTGCTAACGAATGTATTCGTGGAAGCATATTCTATCAAACAGTTAAACTAAAACCTCGCCGGTAAGAGGATCCACACCGGTAGTAGAAATCGTACGTCCTCCAACAACTGCATCATAACCAACACGAATAGAATCCTGTATAAAGAACTAATGGCAATGATGGTGAGGAAAAACCTATGTTGAAAACAAAACAAGATGCAAACAAGTACGTCAATATTCGAATCATGCCTTAAAGAATAAAGGATAAAACTCTCAGTGTTGACCAATCCCTGAGAGATGCACCATGCATTCGACTTCATTAAGCATCGTTGGAGGTGATTGAATGCATATCTGGCCTTTATAATGACTCGAGGCAGCCTACCAATGTATTGAGCCAGTGATACTATCCTCCCAGACAAGTCTGGTAGCAATTTGCCCAGCCCGGAGGGATGGAAGGAATGGTGAGCCACGGGAGCGGAGGTCGATCCCATGTGTGTCGCAGAGCGCCTCCGACAACTGCGCTACACACGCCTTCGAATCATGCCTTATAGCTAGAAAACACTGTGGTCTATAAAAATGCAATTCAGTTAGAAATAGCTTTACGTCATATTAGAAGAAAATGAAAAGAATCGCACTTAAACCTCAGACAGATGGACATATTACAATGGAAAAATAAAGCACCTGGAGTAGCATATCCGTGCTTATTGGTATAGGTTCCAGAATACGATCTTCATTTTTATATATGTAGAGCGTTCCATCGAGAGCAGGAATGAGCTTGAACACACGCCCGTCAACTTCCAGTGGCTGAAATACGATGTAATTCACGAGCAGGGTAAGAATCCTCAAGGAAACCTTGCAAACAGTTTACTCTACGACCAAACTATAACCAAAGCGTTTTGATAATCCATATTATAACATCATGAGACCATGAAGCACTGTGTGAAACTGTGGTGGAAAAACTAAAAACCAGAGATTACAAGAAATACATGAAAAAAGTTCTGCGAGCCAAAAACCAGAGAAAAGAAAATGAGCTCTGCAAAGGCCATACTGGATACAATTCTATATCTTCATACAGACGAATACACAAGACGAATAGCTTCTACATAGGTCATGTATTCACGCATGTGCTATCCAATTTTTGCAAAAGCATGTCTTATAAAAACACACTGATAAATGCGCACTCCGTGCAGGCACAGCTCATCTACATAGTGGGAAAACTTCCGTACAATTCTTCTCAAAGGTTTAGCATTCCACTGTGGTGATTAACATGTTCTATGTTGCGAATAGTGTGCAAGTACCAAAGGCATACTAGTGCCCGCCCCCGGATTCACGTCCAAAAAAATTTTTCCTTTTGCAAATTACTAAGCGTACAGTATAAGGTTTTTTGAATGATGTGCGACACAATAACTGTAACTGATAATCTATCTAATGAACGCAAATGTGTAGCAAGGGGTAAAATAAACTACCGAAACAAATAGGTTGTAAATGCTTTATATGGCCCAGTTTGCTCCAAAACTCACGAATAACACACGACTTAAATGGATACCAATATGTTATTTACTTAGTCGTTCTCCCATCCTGTAATTAAGAACGATATAAATTACTACACGTCCCAACGGCTTACCGCCTTATCGTGGCTGGAAGTTGTTCCTGGGTGTCGGGCTGCGATGTACAGCAGGGCATTCATCTCCTAAGAAGGGTCTCCCAAGCTGAGTCCGGCGTTTTCCTAAGGAAGCCCAGATAAGAGCAAACTAGCACTAGGATATACCACCATCCTGGTATCAAACTAGTCGCATGATGGTAAATCTCCCTCTGATAAACAA